CATCCATCCATCCATCCATCCATCCATCCATCCATCCATCCATCCATCATCCATTCATTCCTTATTCCTATAATCTGTGTTTGCATGTGCATCAGTGTCTCTGTGTGTGTGCAGGATGGCCCAGTAAACTGTGAGCGTTACCTGTCATGGGCCAATGCCTTCCTGGTGGTCTACAGTATCGACAACATGGAGAGCTTTGAACGCTGCCAGTCTTACTTGCAGACGCTTGACCAGCGTAACAAAACATTTAAGCCTCAAGCTCCTATCATTCTACTGGGGAACAAGCTGGATATGAACAGATACAGGCTAGTGTCCATGCGTGTCTGTCATTTGTTCTGCTACATGTCAATTTATGTGTTTTATCTTGTTTCCGGATGCATTTTCAATTTATATACAAAAAAAAAATTTTATACTGAAAGGCTGAACAATCACATGACATCACACAGGAAGATACTCTGAAAACATGCGACAGAAGAAAAATAGTTAAAAAAAATAGTGGTCAAATTACTAAATGTATGTAGTGTATGTATGGTTCAAGTTAAACCATATTCACATGCGACTTTCTCCTCTCAGGCAGGTGAGTCAGTGTGACGGGGAGCTCCTGGCCTCTCGTTTTGGCTGTTTGTTCTTCGAAGTGTCGGCCTGCCAGGACTTCCATTCTGTGCAGCATGTCTTCTATGAGGCGGTGAGAAGTGCCAAGAGAGGGGGCGAGAGGGGCAGTCTGGCCCGGGCCGTCTATGTCAGCGAAGACAAGGCACTGCTTGGCGTACCCTCAATCATAACGCCATGCTACAAGGAGCTGCCGTCCCCTGCTACAGCCAAGCTGGTCACAGTGAAGACATCCAGGGCTCAGAGCAAACGCAGGGCTGCCACACTCACCCTGCTCAAAGGGTTCAAGATCTTCTGATGAGGGCTACTTGCCCAGACACCATGTCTTCAAAACCTGTGACTTTGATGATTCCGTCTTTGAGTAATATTCTAATTATCCCCAGTGATGCAGGGAAGGGGCAACAACTCCGAAAGCAGTTCACTACATTGTAAAAGACAGAAAGAAACTCTTATGGAATGAGAACCCGGACCCTGCGCCAATAGTGAATTTTAGGTTTTCTGTTTAATGATCAATACAATGAGTGGTATTGAAAGCATAAACCTTGGACTTAACCATTATGCACATTCATGCTCTGACTGTATGTCGAAAATTATGACAGAAGGAAAACAATTAGATTACACAGCAAACAGCCTTGCTCATAATACATAAAATGTTTTTTTTTTGGAAAAACTGTAAACAACGTAATATGGCACAAAATGCACAATATAATTATACATTGGGGTGTAATTGTTATCACCATTGTCTAAAAGCAAGAGCTCTCCGTGGTTCAAAACTAGCTCTTTAGCGCATTACATATCCATTATGTAAAGGGAATGATTTGCTTTATCTGTCAAAGTATGTGGATATTTGTTTAAGACACACAGGTTTGCCTGGACATGCCCTATGGTTTATCTATAGTGCAGGCATGTGATCAGTGATTATACAGTCTGCACGAGTCACAGTCTAATACTCTTTAGGTACTCCAGATTGACCCTAAATGTGTGAGGGAAAGTGCTTTTAAGTAGTTTTCTGGAATGGGATTAATAGGCTAATGGAGAGATGCAAAACATAAGTGCTAAATAGAAAACGTTTAAACTTGAAAAGTTTAAGATGATACCATTTCAAAATAACAGAATCTAGTGTGTTTTATCAAGGCTTGCAAAGAAACAGCCCAAAGGAAATTGACAGACTTTGTGAAAGGGGTAAATGGCTTTCACTTTAACGTCACTGTGCCTTTCAAAGATTATATAAAGGATTTTTTAATGGTTTTAATTCACACACTCAAGTGAGTAAAGGGTCTCTCATAGGAAGGTAATGAATAGGTTAGTAAAGATGAATGAAACATAAAACTACATACAGCATACCGAAGCCATTGGAATGCAATGTACAATGATGTGGTCAATGGCTCAATTTTATGCTTAATAGGGATATAATGTGTATATGTTTTTTTTAATAATTAACCATTTTTCCTGCAGTAAACAGTGTCATCCTTAGCTTGCTAATGACATTACATTAAAGAACATTTAAAAAAGAACTCCAGCTAACAAACTTAAATTATTTAAATGTTGAATGAGTTATTGTATGAATAATGTTACTTTTTTGAGAGGCTTTTAAAAAAACTTTATCTGCTGGGCCTATGGTTAAATTAGAATTAATTTAAGTTGCATGTGAATATAAGTTGATATTATCTAAGAATGTGGACAAACCTTTCACAGCATTCAGGTTTAAGGAAGTTCAATAAATCCCAAGGGGTTAGGCTTAGTCAGCAATTCATTTCCAGTGTTGCCTGTTTGCTAAAAGAAAACATAAACAGATTCAATTTTCAAATATTACAATGAACAAATATGATAAACAACGTCAACATGATTGTGTGAAAAATAGCACCAGTCTTCTCATTAACAAGACCTAATCTGGTCGAGGTTGATGATTCGGACACTGATGTTGGGTCAGTCCTGTCTCAGTGGTTTGCTGCCAGGTTACTATATATATATATGTATATGTTTACATGTGTGTGTATATCTTATTAGTAAACTTAACTTTGTGTACAGAGCCATCATCAGGTTAAATGTCAGTGTATTTTGCAAATAAAATTAAGCCAAGGTGCCCCCTGATTTTTGGAGTTTTGTTGATTGAAAAAGCTGCTTTGTGGAAATAATTTCTTTATGAAGTTGATCCAGGCTGAAAAAAAGGGAAAGACCCTGGTGCATTTCTGGTTAAACTGCTCTCAGTCCCTACAGACACAGTGGGTTTCAAGAACACAACAATGTGAGTAAAATATTTAATGACTTGTTCTGTTAATATCTGAGGCAAATGGGGAAAATGATAATCAAACAACATTCTGCAATGTACATAGTTAAATGTTAGAACACTGTAGAAACAATACATTGGTGAGGGTTACTGATTTCTGTCTGTATTTGGTCAACTTCTTCATGCAGTCAATGCTGAAAGCACTGAAAAAGCTGAAAAAGCATTCCAGTCTGAAGCAGCCACTCTTTACTCTGTCATAGCCCTATCCTGAGCATCTTCAGCATCCTCAGCATCCCGCTCAACATCCAACCTCTTTTCTTCTCTTTTCACGTCCTCCCCCTTTTCCTCTTCCTCCGGTTTCTCTGTCTCGGCGTGATCTGAGTAAAGAGAGGAGATGTTGCCATCTTTCCACGTGACCACGATGTCGCCGGCTTTTAGATCGCCCTCCTCCCCGCCAGCCGTGGTGGGGCCTCGTCCCGACAGCAGGCCGCAGTGCTGCGGTGACGCGCCGTTGTCTCGGAGGGGCAAAACGGCTCGAAGCTCCTCGCCGTCGCTTTCGTGCCTGAAAGACGCCGCCGCTTTATACTTCGCAATCTTCTTCCTGCTTCTGTTGAGTCAAGACAGACAACCCCTTAGAATGGCATGGTCATTTTTCAAAGACAGGGCAATTGCTTAAGTCCATACTTGTTGGCCACTGCTCCCATTCCAAGCAGCAAAAATCCAACCAGCAGGCAGATAAAGGCCGCCCCCAGCAACACAAACTTCCATGTGGTGGCTGTCAAGGTTAGAAGACAATAAGCAATAGACTGTGAAACAGTGCAGTGCTTTTCAATAGGATTATCCGCAACCGATCAAAAGCATAATCAGAACCTATCCATGTCATTTGGCAGATTTTATTCTGCGCATTTTTAGGCATTTTAACAGTTTCTGGAGAGGTGAGGGTCTGAGATTAGGGCCGTGGAACGTACGATCCTCTGTGCGGTAGTACCATCTCAGATACTCTCTCTGTTCTTCTGTCATGGAGGCCAGCTCCCCAGTAGGTTCGTCCTCGTACTCAGCCAGGTCCGAGTCATCCGAAGCCCTTCTGACCCCTGAGGAAGAACACAGCAACTCTGTTGGTATGTGAAAAACATTGTTTCAACATTATGATTGAGATTGGATATAAGACCCACTTCAATGTCAGGCTATTTCAAATGTTTCCAGCAGAACTATTGAGACTATAAAATTGTGCATTTTGAATGAACGAATGCATTAATTGAATGACTTTCTATGAGGGTAACATTTATTCAACCCTATTCTCTCACACATATATGTTTTAATGTAATAAAAAAACCTTTGTTCAGCATTTGACACAGTAAAAACCCAAAATGTCTGGAGAGAGCTTCACAGACTTCTCCTGCATCTTAGAGGGACACATGGCCAAGTGTTTTGGTATTTATCCCTAAAAAGCCATATTTGTCATATTTGATACATACGCTTTCAGAAATGTTTTCCATCTGAGACTTTTTGCACCATTCAATGGGAAAACCTTTGCTCAATACCCTGTTGGACCCAATAAGATATACCCGATAACAGCAGGCAGAAGATTACACCACAATAATTTTGACTTATCGCACGGTAATAAATTATGAATATTAAAAAAACTGTTTAATATTCTATAAAAGGGCCAAATAAAGACTTCAAACACACACAAGAAATTAATTTTCTCTGTATCTCTCCTTCAATCAGGCTTTAAAGTGTTTAGCAGAGGTTTATACACTGCTGCAAAACTGAAATGAATGATTGCTGTTGTCCACCTGCATTTCTTTAACTGGGATCCGTCACGAAGGTGCCCTGGTGAAGGGGTTTTGTCTCGTCTTTTTCTAGTCTCGTCATTTCCTGTTTTACTTTGAAGAATAACCCTCATCTCGTTTCAGGTCACTTGCACTTCCTGTTGTGTCACCAGTCTGAGCGTCTCCCTGATTACCTATTGTCTGCACCTGGGCATCCCTTCCCTCTCGTGTTCAAATAGTCCTCGTCTCCCCTTGTCCCGTGCCAGTGTGTTTCGTTCCCAGCCACAGAGCCAGTCCTGTCCTTAGCCCTCGTCACAGTCATAGCCCTTGTTCCTTGCCTTCTGAAACCCTTAGTTTTTGCCTCTGCCACGAGTGCGTTTATTGTTTCCTCCTAGACGTAACATTCCTAGCGAGTATTTTTGTTGTTACTTTTGTTCCTGTTCTGCCTCCTTGTGAGAGATTTACTTTGCTACTTTTCCGCTTTGTGTTGTAACTTTATCAGCCTCGGTTCGAGAGCCCTTTCTGTTTATACTTTGTCCTCCGTTGCCGGAGCGCTTTATGTTTGTTTTTGTCCACTCTTTCGAGTGCGCCTTTTGTTAATAAATTTTTGGAATTCTGAACCACTCTGCACCTGAGTCCTCCTGCGTCCACGCTCGTGTCAGGATCCATTTGAAAACTGCCAACACAAAGCAAATCAAAGGACGAATTATTTTATTATTCAATTATGTGGCTTACTGAGTCTTTCTTGGCAGATGTCCCCCTCATCCAGAGATTTCCACTTTGCGTCTTGGCTGAACTTTGTGAGAATCAACTGCTGGCCACTGATGGACAGGAACATCGCCGAGCTCTTGCTGATGAGCCTGCCATTGTCACAGTCCCACACTGACCCTGCTGCATCCACATCTGGCCCATGGCAGGGCTGGGTCTGGACTGGCTCGCTCCGTTCAGAGGACAAACATCTGGACGATGCCACGCACATGAGCTTGTCGCCGCCGAGCCACACCCACTGCTGAGACTCGGAATCCAGATTGCACCTCTTCAGGAGGACTTCACCTGTGCCAACCGAGTCCTCCAGACAAAGGCTACGCTGGCTGTTGTGAATCATGAACGTCCTCCCACCTGTATGAGGGAAATCGCAATGTCTTTAGTTGAATGGATTTTCATCAGTAAAAACTACTGATGAGACATGGATTTACCTGTGAAGAGGAGAGGTAAAAGGATCCAGGCATTCAGCATATCTGTGGAGGACAGAGCACCATTATCAGAACTCATGGCAGCAAATCCAAAATGTGTAGATACAGCGTTTAAACACGCCTTTACCAGAGTGAAATCACATTTTACAGCTAATAATAACTCACTTGGTCAGTAAGCAAATGTTAGCACATCTTTTCACTAGAACTGAGAAGGTGTTACAACATTCCCAACTCTGAGTTCTGTCTTACATCTGGATCATATTTTGAACACTCCTGTGAAGAATATTTACTGGTTGGAGTTGGTTGTTCTGGGTTCTATTTTTTTAACAGCTAGAATAGAGAATAGACTGTATGTTGTTATGTATTTATATATATATATATTAGTCTGTGCTTCAAAATTTTAAAAATAATTTTAAAAATCACCAAATGATTGATTGAAACCAAAAGTTTAAAGTATTAAGTATGTATGGAAAGAATTGTATTATACAGGAGATTAATTTTTTTTAATAATTAACAGCCTTGAATATAAAGCCTAAATATTGCCACTGTCATGTTTTTTCCCTTTCTGTAATTTTAGCAAATGCCTCGATTTTGGATTTTTCTCTATTGTTGTGTTCATATCCATGTGTATGACATATGAATCTACAGATTATATGTCGCCAATCAAATGGGACTAATGAATATAAATGGTGTTGTGAAAGTCTGAGACCTGATAGTTTAAGACTTTTCTTAGAACCTTAAAAGACGAACCTACTGGCTCACGGTATGTTTTTCTTTGTCACTTCAATTACAAATTTCCATGTGTCGCAGTCATTAAATCTAAAGTGGTTATTGATCTTTTTCTATTGGCTGAAATGCCGGTATGTCTCTGCTCAGTTCTCTTTAACTTCACTTCAGACTTTCTGTCTGTTGTGAACTGACGTTTCTGAAATGATAGAAGTCCAGAAGCCGTGATGTATTGGTCGCTTTTCTGTCCCTTTGGCGAACTGTTGAATCTGAACATTATCCTGATTTACTATAACAAGCTGAGTCATAATTTAAACACGGTGCCAATAGAGGAAAACAAAAAGAAGGAATTTTTCTGAAGATTTCACATGGTTAAGGGGTACCAACCACTTCAGATCAGGACAAAGTGAATGAAGAGTGTTAGACTCTTTTAACCCCTTATCATTTAATAAATGCGCCCAGAATTAAATATTTTCTTCTGATTCTATGGAGGCAGCCTGACAGAATGATTTTTTTTTAATATTGTGTACTTAAATACACAATATTCAAACACTATATTACACAATATACACAATTATATTACACAATATTAATATTTAAAGAGTAGTGTATGAAAAAAACCCCTTCTCGTTCTTCTCGCCAATTTGACTACCAGCAGTAACTAAAGTTATCTGTTACTGGTGAGCATGAAGCTTAATGTTTCCAGCTATTGTATCTCTAATCTGCAGATGTGTGCTGATATTCCTCCACTAAACATCTTCAGTGGAGGAACATCTTTGTCCTAAGCAGGGTACATGCACCGAGCTTGATCCTCTTTTCCAAATTATTTCCAGAGAAAATCCATCAAATAAGTTGGCGTTGCCTCTCTGAACCTACTTGTTTGTACATCATATCGTTTGCCCTCGCATCGCTCCATGCTTGGATACCAACCCCTACCCTGCAAGAGCGAGCCCCACAACCCGCGAGCGTAAAACAAATATGAATGAACGTCCCAATGAGCAGTTTCACAAATTGCAACTGCAATGACAATTCTAGGACAAATATTCAACAACAACAGTTTTTCCATCTCATCAGTGCTGCGCTGCCGTACAAGTTGCCTTCCGCTAGTTTTTTTTGTAAGCATACTCACTTCTGCTCTGTGTCTGGCTGAGATGAGAGAGAGGGAGAGTCCAACTGCAGTGGACAGAGTTTTTCAAAAAACATTTCCAAAGTTCACAGGGAGGAGTCTGCACATCATTCCAGTCCCTTACTCCTCTCTCTTCCTCTGAATCGTAAATGTATAAAAACTCATAAACACAAAGCTGCACATCTTGTCCTTATCAGTGCTCTTATCAATACATCAAATCCGAGTTTTGAATGCTGTGCGATATATTTGTTGCACAATAAAAGACTATATTTTATGAACCTTTTTATCTATCCAGCTCACTCGTCTTTTATCCATCTGTCCATCTGTTTTCATGATGTAGCTCATCGTCATTTGTAGCTTGTAACATGTTTACAACGTCCACACATCCTATTAAACACAAACTTCTGGTGAGAATTATGGCTGAGCCCTTAAAACAAAGTTCAGACAAATACATTCCGGGTCTTTGACCTTGTCATGTGGTTACTGTTTAGACAGCCCCACAGTCACCTTGGCTTCTCTGTTTGTAAAAGTACATGACTCATCGGTCAAACGCCTGTATGAAAGCAAGGCGGTTTTGATACACGGCCATTAAAGGATTCTATTTTTACGACAGAGGCGTGGAGAGGTGTAATACTAACTGGGACAGGGAAGGAAAGAGGAACAGGACTTCATCTGAGGCTTTTAAAAATATAAGAAGCACATAGGTTTTCTGTTGGTTGCTATTTAAGTGAAATGTTCATGTGCAAAGCTGCACAGTGATCAGTGTAGTTCCTTCTTCTTTGGGTCTTCTTTGAGTTTCAGCAATGAGGAAATTGGAGGCAAACCTAATCTGTGTGAAGGGATGTGTTCCTCTCAACAATGCGCTTGCATGTAGGGTCCTGGTTTATTATAGGGTTAAGCAAAGTTAGACCTCTAAGTAATTGCATGTTAGACTTGAGGAGGTCTTGAGGCAAATGCAATTTCCTGGAAAACTTGTAAGAAATGAATCACAGGTCTGAGCTTCAATCTCATCTTGTCTTCAACTGTATCAATATTCTCCTGTTCGGTCATTTTTGTGAGACAGCTAAAGTCCATTTTTTGGCGTTTGTAGGCACGTTCCCAAAATTTGTGAAAAACCTGATGAAGTTTGAGAAAAAGATTAAATAATCCCGGGTCATCTGCTGATTTCTGAAGGCACGCACTAAGTAAGGAGGAGCTGATGTCCAGATGGAGGATCGGCTTCGTCATTATGTCGAATGGAAGTAGTGACCCTGGTATGGACTGGCGGCATGTCCAGGTTGGGCCTCTGGCCTCTTGCCCGTCATCAGATGGGATAGGCTGATGATCTTGGTGTAGTGGTTTACCTAGGAACTTTCCTCGGTGGTAATCCAGACTTTCTGACCTGGTATGAGTCCCAGGAGGTGACTAGAACAGTGTCAATACTGCAAAGACTTGCAGTTCAACACTACTGACACATGTAGAATAATGATATTCGACACTGTGGGCTGTTGGTGAGGAACACACAGTTTATGGGAAAAAAGTGCTTCCAGGCTGGAGAACCAAGAAGCATTCTTCCTCTTCCTAAGGTTTTGAACAGGGCCAAATGGGCTACGCTCACGCTGCAGCCTAGCGTGACCCAAATCCGTGAAACATGAATTGTTTGATGTGGTCTTTCACAGTTCCAGATATATGCCACTCGCATGTGATATCCAGTGTGAACTGCTACCAAATCTGCAGGTGTCCCACATGCCCAGAAGAGGATGCAATAACATCACATGTAGCGAGCCTGCTCAGTGTTTGGGATCCAGCTCTTCATAAAACGGACAACGCTTCATTTGATTGACTCTTCAGCCTCCTTACATCTGGCCCAGAGGCTCTTTGTTTTTCTTTGGCATTGGAACCTGAACCTGCTTACAAAGATTGCCCAGTTCTGATAAGACCCTTTGAGGGTCAGAGATCACTTTTCGAAGGTCAGAGATCGCTTTCTGGCCACTGACTGCATTATCATCTGACATGGTTGTTTTTTCTTTGCCATAGCAGGACGCAGAAAAGGGGCATTTATCGACTATCAATGAGTATCAATGAGTATCACACACTCAGGTCACTTTTGAAAAGATTGGATACCTATCAGATTGAGGACCAAATGTACAAGTGGCCTTGGTTGCATTTGAAAAAAATCCAATCTGTGTCATTCACACTGTCATGAAAAGATGAAGTTCAAGTCGCATTAGAACAAAAAAGTTGGATTTGGATCACCTCAGACTTCAGGGTAAAAGCAGCCATCGACAGGACCAGACGGACAGCAACTCCTGTTACATGATTTTCTGATGATCCATCAATTTTCTATAACACTTATTCCCAATGGGGTCGTGGGTTAGGGTTAGGGTGGAGCCTATCCCAGCTGACAACAGGCAAGAGGTGGGGACTTTTCAGTAGTTTATCTCAATGTTTTTTTCCTTATTCAGGGAAAAGTTTTGTGTGTATCCAAGCCAAATTTGAGTAGAGTGCATGGTGAAACCCCACAATGCAGAGTGAGGGTGCTCACTGCATTATGGGAGCTCCCCAGTTGTCTACCAGAACCAAAGTGATATCTATGGGGTAACTTTAGATTTTACTTTCTTTACGAGGTTTGTGCCATAAACTTTTGTTGTTTTCTCTTATTATACTGAGTAGCTTGGACTTAATTGACAGTATCACACAGAATCAATTTCCTGGTGATGAGCATTTTCCTAGGAAGAGAGTCCACCAAACCTAAGAGTATCAATTTCAAAAGATGATCAACCCATATTATACGGACTGCAACTGTATTGTGACATTGGTGGAAGATCACGACTTCAGACCTTTTTTGCAAAAGATCATTACTAACACTTCTAATAACTGCTCTAAAATCAGAAAAGTAATAAATATAAGTTGGACTCTCTGTTAACTGCTCATCATCCTCTCCTGTAGTCACCTGGGCAGGTTGATGATCAGTTAAAAGAAAATAACTGGTCTCTGCAAATACAACAGCAATAAGGTACAATGTTAGAATATAGAAAAAGCCTCTGATGCTTTTGCTGATCTCATTCTGGAATCATATACTCACAAAAGCAAATCCCTTACTGACCGTGCAGTATATGTGATGAAATTGATATTGAAGAAAAATGTATTTGATTATTTTCTACCTATTACTTAGTTTCTTATAGTGTGAAGTTATTTGCTTCCTGCCCATGGCTTACTTGATCCCTAATTCATTTATCTTTGTCTGAGTTTTTTTGTGAGAGTTTATCACTGCAAATGCACACAAAACTGGAAAATATATTTTGGAACAATTGATTACTTTTTAAACCGAATGTTAAAACACAAAAACATAGTGTACTCGTTACAATACTGTAATGTACTGCTTTGTACCACTAGGGGTACCCATTGGAGTGTCACATACCAACTGCTAAAGGGGATCTGATCAGTGTACTATTAAAAAGCAGTTTTTTATGGACACACCACCCGGCCAATAAACTATGTTATTAGATAGAATTACATAATTATTGTGTAATTACATGCTAACAATATCTGTCCTACTAGCTCAGCTTTGCATTTATTTATTTCTAAGTGCAGACCTCTAAAGATTGCCTTGACGAGAAGGCAAGGGTTAGGGTTAGGGTTAGCTCCTGGGTCATGCTCTTTGAAGAGCTGGGTCCTCAAGAGTTTCTTGAAGACCACCATTGTGGAATGTCACATGAAAACATTTTGTATTGTCTTAAGTGTGGTGTGTAGCAATCCTTTGATGCTACACTCAGTGACTGAGTTGCAATAAAAGCTGTAAAAAAAGGGAGCTGTACCCTTTATCAGTTTGTAGGCAAGCATCAGTGACTTGAGTTTTCTCGACAAATCTAGGGGTGACGTGGGATATTTTTGGGCCTACTGAAGACCAGATGTTCATAGTAGAGGCTGGGAGACCTTGTATTAGGGTGTCTTTATGCCAATAAACGAGCTATGATTGATTAGGGTTTGGGGGCCCGGGCATGCGGGGTCTGAGTCCCACAATTTAGTCATGCCTGGGTGGCCATTCACTGATATTCCAGATATTCTTTAAATGTGTGTGAAATAAACTTAATACCTGGATGTTTGTAAGTTTGAATCTTGTTCCAAACTGGCATAACTTTGTCTGAATCATTTGTTGTTTGATTAATCTAACAATGACGGATAATGAAATATCGTTTTTCTAAAGCCTAAAATACAGGTTCGTTTTTTAAACTTCAATAACTTAACCCCCATCAATATGAAGTAGATGTTATGGCACGAATTAAGCTATCCTTAACTTTATTCCTAACTTTTTAAATGTACCAGTAGCTGTATTATGGCATTATGGCTTCAAACAAAATTGTTTTTATGTTATTCCTATTGAAGAAAATGACACTCTGGCACTCAAAATTCCGACTTTTTCACTCCATATGAATTATTTCAGGTTGCAGCAAAAATACTATGACGATGATGCACACATTTATCTGAAAAAAACGTAAGTCTCTGTCTCTCCTGCAAAGGTCAATGATAATCATCTACCTTTGTTTTGGAGTTCTGTCCTTCTAATTGAATTCAGAAGCAACTGAGACCAGATGAAAAATGTCATGCCTGAGGATACAGCTTTGGGGCCAAAAAGATGTGGCTAAATGTGTAAACAACCTTTATTCCACACAATTAACAGCAAAGTATAATAAATCACAGCTGCTCTGTGTGTCACATATATTAATGACTCTACCTTACAGAATAAATTAATTATTCAGCATGCATAGGTGAAGAATGAAATCTTATGGGATAAATCTATCTATTCTATTTCAGTCAAACATTAATGCTGTGAGATTCTGTTTTTCAGCTTATCGTCGCTCTGTGTAGATAATATGAATATTACTTTCTGCATTTTCTATTATACGATTTTTTAAAACAACATTGGCAATGTGAGCAAACTGAGCAACAACTGCTTTTTCACTGGTGTCACGTGTGCTGTAAAAGCATCGAAAACAGATGATCTGCCATCATTTTGATGAGATCACATGTGCTGATAAAGCCACAAAAGGATTTTTTTTTATTACAGTACATGCTGAAACAAGTTGCCAGTCCATTGTGGGGGTCACACAGAGAATTCATGAAACACACAACCATGCACTCCCACATTTAGTCCTTTCAGTATAAAAACTAAGCAATCGGATTCTCTTAATAAATACTCAATAACTTAACCACTTAACGGCAACTTCTAAGAGTGTGGATTTCTTGTCACTGTGTGAGCAACTCCTTGCTGACTTGTCCAGCTTCTTGCATTTTTCAGCCCTCTCTTTGACCTGAGCTGCCACACATGTCACTGTTTCGAGAGATGCGTGCAGTGTGGTTTGAAGCCTTAC